TTGAGTTTGTGCCTTTTGCATATTCCAAATATATATGATGGCCAGATGGTACAATCCTGACTTTTGTGTTCAGCTTTTGAATGGACTACTGTTTTCTTTCCATAGATCAAGACTAGGGGAATCTTCTGGATTATAGGGAGAAAAGTGGGACACAAGGAACCCTCTGAAGTTTAGTTTTCTGGCTGACTTAAAATTCTTGTGATATTAATCTTAACTCCACAGTTATTTGTAATTTCCTTGCCCCTTGAAACCCTATCAATAGAGTCTGATGGAAGAAAGAGAGCTTTTATAGTTCAAATCTTCAAGCTGCCTTTTCCCATGTACTCACTCTTCTTCACAAACTCTTGTATTGCAAGGTAGAGAAGAACTGAAATTAGTACAGAGAAGGGCAATCAGTATGACCAAAGATCATTTAGGAAGAAAGATTAAATAGCATAGTCCACTGTAGACTGGAATAAAAACAGCTGAGGGAGGACATGCTCAGTGTATAAAGAGTCATGAATTGTGGGGGGAAAATAGGGACTGCTTATGCAGTGCTTCTCACAGCACATAAGGTAGGTAGAATCAAAAACCTAAGCAAAAAGAAGCTAAAACTCTACAAAAAAGTATTTTCTTTTGTTTGCGTGCAACTCGGCTGTGGAGCTTACTGCCACAGGATGCTTGTGCAGGTCAAAAGCATAAAAATAATCAAAAGGAATTAGATACAATCCCAGAAGAAAAATCTTACAGATATTACTGAATACATGAAGATAAAACCATTGTCTCAGGAAGTACCTAGTCTGCAAATTAATAGAGACAGAGAGAGTTTACCAGAGGAAGGGGCACTATACTTTTTCTACCTTTTCTTTAAGAACATCCACCTAACTTCTGTCAGAAATATGTAAAAAGAACTTTGATTTGATACAGAATAGCTGTTCTGTGTTCCTGATACCTTCTTCAACTGCCTTTGCAACTCTGCAGGGAGACGAGAAGATTATGGCAAATCGAAGGCAGTTATGGGAATTTTTGCTTTTCATCTGTTATTGCAGAACGTATATCTCAACAAGGCCAGAATGTCTTGTCTCGTACTTCTACCCTGACTTGGACCTCAAGACTTTACATTTGCTTCAACTGTTCTTTACAGAATAAATTATGTGAGGCTATGTTGAAAAGACAGTTTTGAATATATACTAGCCTTATTGAAAGTTCCCACTTCAGAGGGCTTTTCTCCCTAACTCTGTAATCCCTGCACCCAGCAGCACCCATGCTCAATGTGCTTTGCAGTGCTTTGTCTTTGCTCAGAAAGGTCATGCTGTGGAGGGTGCAAAAAGCAGCACCAGCTCAGGAAGGATTTCATTGAGCCCTCTGATAGCCTCTGGTAATTCACTGTGTAGTCAGACAAACAATGACAGATGCCACCCTATCATCAACAGTGTGTTCACAGTCTAGACATCCAAAACTGAAAACAAATCCTGACAAGGGTCTTGCTTGTCTGAGTCTTGCTGCCCTCTGGGAGAGGGAAGGAAGGGTACCTCCATCTGGTATCAGGTGTCACAAAGGTGCTGATGAGCTCATGTTCCACCTACAGCCCCTTTCACTTCAAATTTTTTGAGCAATTTTTTCCTATATAAAGGGATTCACATGTACAGACCCTGCTGAGCAAAACTGAGCCTAAGCTTCTTTTGAAAATATAGTCAGTCCAGTCATAGGGGTGCTTGTGGGAAGACTAATTTTTGAAAAATCTGGCTAAGCAATATTTTTGAACCATGGAACCAGGTGTTTTTCCTTTCATTAGAGGGAATTTCTTAGTATTTTGTAATTAAATTTGAAGGAAGTTCTCAAGGGACACAGCCCATCTCTTCAGTGCACACTTTCCAGCATCTGAAGCATACAATGAGATCTTGACCTAATATATTGTTGAAATGGCCAGAGCACAGGGAAAACATGAGTGATAATGACTAATAGAAAGTATATGTGATTATCTCACAGTCTAACATGCCTTTGTCTCACACTTTTCCACTGTACATTCTAGTTCATTCTTAGGACCTCAAAGACTAGAATGACAGGGCAGGCGTGTGAAATATGTCTATATGCTATCAGAAGAGATTTAAACACATTGCCTTCCTCGGCTACTGGAAGGAGCAGACACATAGCAGCAAGGAGGTCTCTAAGTCAAGTGAATACTGCTCACTAGCCTAGAGAGAGAATTGTACTAATACAGCTCTATTACCCTGGGTATTTTGAGTAGCTTGGCTTTGCTTTCACACTTCTTGGCTGTGTTCTGAGCTCTGGGTGTATCCCAGGATATAATCAGTATTCACATAATGCAAAAGATCAGTAGCACTGCCAGGTGAGTGTTACAAAAGCAAACTGCATATCTGCCACTGCATCTTAGAGATATATGACCACTGCATCCTGCAGATACCAGATCTGCATAGGAGCCTTCTGACTTCCAGCTGGACAAGGCTTCAGATGTGCAGGGAACCATCAGAACTGGCTCCTAGGTAGCCTCTACCACTGTAGAAGGCTACTGGCTTTCAACAGCCAGGACAACGCAAGGAGGACTTATGAACTCTAAGAGTGACCATAGAAAGCTTAGTTGTCTCTTCATGACAGAAGACAGGAGGTTTCTTCACCATCATCCCTACCCTGTACCTGGACTTCCAGATATTGTGACATTCTAGGCCACTTGCCTTGAAGGGGAGTCCCAAGCGCATGATTAAACATGACCTCCTCCCTAAGCAAAACGTATTCAGTGACTGACTTCCAGCAGGACATGGTTACTGTGTATTTATGTCATTGCTACAGACAACACACTCAAGGACTGATGGACTCCTGCTTATATTGAAATAGAGGGCCTCACATTAAAAGTGTCAATAAGCTGACTCATGGTACTTTGACATGCTCAGGAAGAGTCATCATGACTTAATTTTTCCATCTGCATAAATCTTACTGGCTCTAGAGAGCCTGAACATGTCCTTTGTTTCTCTCAATCTGGTGACATAACTACAGGGAAAAAGTGTTTAGCAGCAGAGAATCCATTTTGCTTGAAGACATTGGACAGTGGGTGAAATACAAACAAACGCAAATTTTGGTTCAGTAAAATCGAGCATGCATGAAAACACTGTAGCTCTGGTGAAGATTCCAGCTGCAAAGGCCCTCCTGTAGAGACCACAGAGAAATTAACCAGTGAGTTGATGATGCATATAGTTAGAAAATAATCTGAAATTAAAAATTAATTAAGTTTCATCAGTGGTTTCCTGAAAACAAGCAATTAATTATTTACTACTTATAGATACATATTTATCTTTTAGCATTTCAGAGGTCCAGATGAACTCTGGTACATAGTTTCTGCATTAAAAATACCTCAAACACCATCATAGTCCTTTTTGTTTTTTCCCCTCAAGGAAAAAAAAAACAAAGTCTTGAAAAGACAGAAACTGACTCTCATGCTCATTTGCTCTAAGCACAACGCAGAATAAAGAGGAAGCACATAGGTGGGAAAACAATTCATCACCACTTCAGCTTGAGCGTTGACTTAAAGCATCACAGTGCCCTGACAAACCCAGCCACTAGCTACATTTTTTTTCATTCCAAGGAAGGTGGCAGGGCATGGTCAGAGATAAGAAACTTTTGGAACATACTTTTGGCTTCTTAGAGATTGGTTTATGCCCTGAAATTGGAAGCTTAATGGTACTTCTTTTAGAGATTGGGGTTTTTTTGCTTGAGTGGGTTTTTTTGTTTGGGTTGTTTGGGCTTTTTAATCCTTACTGTTGTAGCAATAGGCATTCCCTATCCACCTCTAGACCTTTGTGGCATCATTCTAAATCATTTTCTTCAGAGAGGAGTTTTACATTCCAGCCTTAAAAGACAACTATGGATTATGCATTCATTATACTTCTGAACACAGGATGAGCCCTTGTAAGTATTTGGATAAGGGACAGCCTTTGAAAGCCCAGTATCCTGTGGGAAATGCTATGGCTGATTCACCAGGTGCCAATATTCTGCCTGGTAATTCACAATTGGTACTCTTCCAATTAGCAGTAGGAGACAACCTCTAATACTGCCAGCTGCTACCTGGAATGCCTTTCTTATCTGTTTGGGTGTTTTTTTCCTTGTCTGCTTGCTCTCTTGTATCTTTTTACAGAGATTCTGCAAGAAGACAACGTCATTGTAACACTCAGTTAACCGATGCAATCACAAAAAGGGCAAGTAGGTATAAACTAGAGATAAGGCAAAAGAACAGCAAACTGAAGAAGGCAGGAGGTTTGATGAGTAGGAAGCATTCCGAGCCTGAGGAGGACGATCCGACTAGCGGAGTGGCTGTTTTCTCCCCTGGGGGACGGCTTGATGGGGGGCACATGAGTGTGCGTTCTTTTCAAGGCTCAAGACAAGCGACAAGTCCTGACCTTCTGCATTTGCCAGCTGGGGAGAGAGGCGTGGATCCCGCAGGGCTCACGGCCATTTATTTGACCCTAGTCGATTTCAGGGGATAACCAGAGCCGGCACGCACGGCGGTGTGCAGACCTGCCTGCCTCTATCCGTCGGGTGCGACAGCGCCCGCGGCTCCGCAGGACGCTGCGGGCCGGAGGGATTGCGCTGCGGCAGCGCTGCCGGGAGCGGAGCGCCGGGCTGGCAGGGCTGGGGAGCGGCAATCGTGCCCTGCAGTCCCGGGCCGCGCTCAGCAGCAGGGTGGCGGGGCGGCACCGAGAGCAGCACCCCCCGCCCGCCCGACCCCGCGAGTGCCCCGTTGGATTCGGGGAGGCCGAGGCGCAGGCGGCTCCCAGCGCGCCCCTCCCGCTGCCCGGGGGCGGACAGGCCGGGCTGCCGGCTCCCCGCGCCGCCGGTCGCCATGGCGACCCGGCCTGCCCGCGCCGCTCGCCTCCCGCGGGGCTGCTGCTGCCGCCGCAGGGTCCGGCTCCGGCGGCGCCGGCCCTACCCCGAGGGTTCTCCGCACCCCCGCAGGGAAGGGAGTCTCTGCGCTCCCGCGGGCAGGGCCAAGCCTGGCCCCAGCCCCGCTGCGCCACCGGGGCCTGCCCGGGGTGGGAGAGGAGGAGGAGGAGGAGGAAGAGGAGGGACTCCGCAGCGGCAACAACTGACGTGTCCCCGCCATGGAGCTCGGCGTGATTCATCAGCGGCGGCGGGGCGGCAGCGGGATGCCGCGCTCCGCTCCCGCGTAGGCACTGCTGCGGCGGGGGCAGCCCCGGCACCGCTCTGCCGCCCGCATCGCCCTCCTCCTGCTCCTCCTGCTCGCCGCCTGCTTCTCTTCCCCCGCGGCTAGGCGAAGATCCCGAGGGAGGCAAGATGGAAGAAATCCTGCGAAAGCTGCAGAAGGAGGCGTCGGGGAGCAAGCACAGGGCCATCAAGGAGAGCTGCACCTGGGCCATCGGTACGGTGTACGCGGGGGGCGCGGCCGGGCTGCCGCGGGGAGCGCAGCGGGGCAGGAGCCGCCGATGGAGGGGTTTTGTAACGGCGGGGGCAGGGAGACCTCAGCAAACTTGTTCCGCGCTGGCTGCTGAGCCTCCGGCGGGCGGGGAGCGACAGGAGCGCCTCGGGCTCTTCGAAATGCCCGGGAGCTCCGCGCTGCTGGAAGAGGCCGTGGCACCTGCTGCCGGTCCCGGAGAGTATCCGCGTCCTTCGCCCTCCCCACCTCCTGGATCTGTTTCGTGGCGCTTCCCAGGCAGATACGGGTATCAGTAGCTGTCAGTTTCCCTGTCAGTTTCGAAGGGGCTGTCTTTTTCTTAAAAGGCTCCCTCGTTCCCCTAAATCATCGTAAAAAACCGTCCGGCATAGTTTTTACTGCCGGTTTATGTTCGGGAATCTATTTTAAAAGCTAGGGGTTTTGTTTTACTGGATTCCATGAGCTCTTTTATCCTTGCTATATAATGGAAATAATGATCAGTATAAAGAGTTCATTTTTTAAGGGAATACAAGCTTAGGTACATTTTAGCATCCATCCATTTTACAAGATTGTTTGTGTCTTGAAGTGTTTTTTTGACGCTAAGAACCTGGAGCACTCGTCAGCACTCGTCAGCAAGACCTCTAACTTACATCATCGTAACTGTGATACTTTCAATTACTTTAAATTTTTATTTTTCATCCATACATAGCTACAGCATTCTGTGATAATTCATACCTGTTGCTGTCTTATTACTGGCCTTTCATCTTGATGTTCCATGGATTGCTTCATTAATTGTGTGTTACTCTTGCACAGCAGCCATGCAAATATCCCAAATACTGTTCCAGTTTTAGTATCTGTGCTGCCGAAGTGCTGATATGTGAAAGTGGAAAAGATGGTACTCGATGCCTTCTCATTGGGCACCCAGGCACCTGACAGATTTCTGCAAAGCTTTGTAGACTTGGAGCAGCAGTGATTGTTGTTTTGTCAGCTGAAGTAGGTGTAAACTTTAGGATCGTTAGTTCAGAGATTGTAGCCAGATGTATTACTGTGGTTGAACTCAGAAGTTTCTTTCAAAAGCCCTATTGTTTCTTTTGATTATACAGAAACCTTGGATTCTCCTGATGCTGCTATCAAGATACCTCCATATCAGCTAAGGTAAGGACATTTAATGTTGAATCCTGTGGAGCTGTCGTTATTTGTAAAATTGAAGCAAAAAATTGAATTAAAAGTGAGGTGGACAGGGGAGGGGGCTGAATCTTTGTGATTTCTTTAGTTTGTAGATATACGTATCTATGCTGATAGTAGTGGATAACTTGCTGATGATTCCTTGGCCTGTGGCCATGAATGAAATGTGTTAAAATGGGTATGTGTAGTGGTGACACTGGTTCGAAACCTTTCGGTTTAAGAGTTTTCCTTCTGAATTACAGCTTTCGGTATAAATGATAATGTTTCCCAGCCTTCTGAGTGTCTTTGTTTTCTTTTCAATCTAAATCAGTTTTTGTTTACTGAAAATAAAAATTCTGGAAACTGAAAAATTATCATATAGCTAGGACACTGACTAAAAACTAAAATAATGCAGTTTCTATGCCTAATTCTTCATTTAACCTACTAGATTATCTTGAGTAAGCCTTCTTCCTTCTTCCTGCCTGCATTTGTACACCTATAAAAGATCTCATTTTGGAAATTCTGATTGTTATGGAGTCAGTGGATAAGCAAAATTATTCATTTTCACTTCTGACAGAACCATTGGGAATCATCAAAAGGAACTAGCAAGCATACTGCTTAAAACAGAAGGACGCTGTTTCACACAGCCTAATCATTCAGATGTGAAATACTTAGGCTTGCCTTATTAAAGAATGTAATGGATGCTAAAAAATTGCGTGAGTGCAAAAATCACCTCAACAAATCCATGGAAGAAACTGATTGAAGTCGGTCAGATGCAAAGGTACCCCATCTTATTCAGAAGTACTTTAGTCAGAGATGATTGAGTTTTTATAAAAGGATATGTAGGAGTCTTGCTGGATATGTGGCCTGTCCTGTAGTTCTTCTAGATATCTGTTCTGAGCTGCTGACAGAGGTGCCATTTGTTTACCACAATATTACTCTCAGTAAAGCAGCCACCAAATAGGGAAGGTATAAGAGCAGTTCTTTTGCCACTCTAAAATCCTATCAGCTGCAGTCCACAAAAGGCCTCAATGAAGTGGGAGATGGATGTAGCACAGGTCTGACGTAACCAATGCCAGACACATGCATCTCCAGCACAGACTGGAAACAGCTGGATGACTAATTCCCCGTAGCTTCATTAGAATTAGGTTTACTTGTCACTGTGGCTGGAGAACACTTGGCTCTTCATCTTCCCTTTTATCAGCCGCTATCTTTATGGTCTCTCTGTTTTTAAGTGCTGTTGTCTTTCCCTGTGAATTAGTTAACTAGCTGTTACCACACTACTTCCTTTTTCACTTGCCTACTACCTCTTTACAGATATGTCTACTTTTTCTCTTCTTCCTCCAGTCTTCTTAATGATGTATTTGTTTAGTTGGGGCGTTTTTTCCACTGTAAATCCTAATCGTTTTAAATGAAGCTAATACCTTCACAGGTGTAGCTATGATGAAGGAAACTCTTAACGTTAGACTTGTCAGTAACAATGCACTCATTATTACTGAATGTTTTGCAAAAATAAAAGGTACACAGGAGAATTTGAATAGAAGCTTTTGTTGTGGGGCCCTTGGTAAGTCTCTGCCACACAGCCTCAGACAGTGTGGGAGCTGTTGCTGAACTGACTCTTCCCTCTTTGATAACAAGAGGCACCAGGCTCCACATCAGCACACTGAGCCACATCTTGGGCTGGAGTTCACCTGCATGGTGTGCAAATTAGATAAAAAGTTTTCTTTGCTTGGTATTTGTGAAAGAGCAGCACTCTGATGGCTTGGGTCCTAACACTGCAAAAGAATAGCTTTGAAAGTATTGTGGCAGCTACAATCAGAAATACAGCCAGGATACAGGATGGAGACATCCTGACCATGCCTCTTTCCTGCTTTCGACTTATATCAGGTGCAGGTTGTATCACCTGCTGTAATACAGGTCAGCCTCTGGAGCTCATCCACTTGGAATCTGAGTCTGCACTTCAAACTTTCTGCTATATTATTTTTGAGTGTAGTAACAGAGCATGGGAATGTGTTGTAGAATATTCCATAATACTAGAACTAATCTTTCCAGTAATTAACCCTAGTCCACAACTCAGATCTGAGCTCCATAGTGACAACATACTGAAAGTGTTAAAGGCAGTGTGGCAAATAGTTCAGGAAAAAATGTATTTATGAGCTGAATTTTGAGTACTTTATGGGGGGGGAGGATGTTCCAGCCTGCTTAGTAATAAAATTTGGGGTGTCCTTAGAATACAATGGATATAAAGAAAGGACATCAGCACTTCTCTACAGGGTATTTGGGAAAGTTCTTGATCTAGGGCACATTCATACTGCATAGGAATGGAGAACAGATTGATGAGCTGCCACATCCAGTTGAGATAGATACTGACTTGGTTTCAAAAATAGTAAATGAAATAAGTATTCCAGTCAGTATTGTTCTGTTTCTCCACAGAGCAGTGTTTGGCTTCCACTAGTGAGTTGTACTGATGTTATTGACATTTAACAGGTTGTCTATGACCATGCTTAAGTTCTTTTCCTTCTAAAACTGAAGAATGAAGACTGGTTTCAAAAATGAGAGTGTGTAAACTGTATACTCACTTTTTTTGATTTATAATAAGAAAAACCATTTACTGCTTTTGACACCCCAGTTCCAGATGAGTAGAGGTTCTTCATAATGTTTTCTTGTAAGATCGTGACCCTAGTGTGAGATTGGGGACGACCTGGTGTCTTTTTGCATTTCCTCAGCCTGTGACCCATTTTAGTTCAAGGGTTTTTAACATATGTCAGCTACATACTTGTTTCCACAATAGTGTTGAGGTAGATTCTGTGTTCTGGCTTGCTCCTGATCCATCCATGGTTTCCTCTCTTGTATTGGACCTCTGTTACTGAACATTAGGCAGACCACATTATAGTTCTCTGTGCAATTAATTAGGGGCTGTAGCATTTGTATGGGAACCGTTTCTGGCACTTGTCTGGTAGCAGTTTAGATAGTTCAGACCTGCTATGTTTGGGAGCACCTGGAGTATTTTTGCCCCAAGGGAATCTCAGTGACTGGACATTCAACCTGGAATGTCATTCTTTAATTAGTTTGATAGAGATCTGTTGGGTATATCTTTAGGGAGCTAAATGAGACTATTTTGCTGTTCCACTTCCCTTGATGTTAATTGGTCTTATGAATCCAAATCCCACTTAATGACCTTGCATATTAAATCTAATGAGGGGCATTATTTAAATGTCTCACTTCCTAAAGAAATACAAATCTCCAACAAGTACAGAGTTTCCCTCAGAGTCTTGTCAGCTCTGCCTTGAGATAGGAGTATGTTTGACTTTTTGGGACTTTCAGCTTATGATCAGAGTATTGGGCAAGGTTTGAGAGAGTAATGAAGATTAAAGTGGATCAAGATGGAAATGACTTGAAGTCGGTTCAAGGCTTTGTTGTAGATGTTCTGGGAATTCTTCAGAAGGGAGAGTCACATAACCTATTGGTAACTGGTCTCTTATTAACTGCATAGTATGATGATATTTTTCTCTGAACAGGAGTTGTAACGATTGAATATGTACTAAGTCCTTAAGGAGTCTGGATGGATGACTTCAATCATGAGTTAGATAAAAGGAATTGATGTGCTCGTGTTTTAACTGGTGAATTGATCACACAGAAAATAGCTTAAGAGTTGTCTGCCAGCAAACAGTTGTTTGCTACTAAGTTGGGCTCTGTTTACTTCAGTATTTTCAAGATGACAAATTCTTCCCTAAGGCCAACAATATACACTGAATAAGCCTCTCTTCTTGGCTGATCCCCAGCCAGGTCCTCTACTGTGTTTTTAGAGACTGAAATATGACCTATTACAGGTAACTGAACAGACACAAAAAACAAGCTTTGAAAAAGAATGTTTGATCAGAGCAGTTTAATACTCATGAGAATTATCACCCTATCAGAGAATAAAATAAGAGGCTAGACAGCACTTGCCAGTCACATACCACTTTCAAAAAACTTGGGTTTAGCAGAGTTGCTTGGAATGCTTTATGAAGTTAAGTCATGCCTTATAGGCTATGTAAAACTTAGTGGCTTTTTATCAGCACAGACTTGGTGCTGCTAAGAGGAGGTAGATGGGACTTCTGAGGGAGCTTCTTTTCAGAAGGAATGCAAATTACATCATGTACTGTACCAGAAAGGCTCACTTGAATTCCACTTGTATTTCACATTGGCCTTTTAAAAATTACCAGTACTTCTGGATATTATAACTGGGAAGTCAGAAGTCAGTGATGAGCAGGGTCCTCTGTAATAACCAGCTTACATCCAGTTCTATCTCTTCTATTTGTGTCCCAGTAGTAGTCGTCTTGGTACTAGTTTTTGAGGGCAGTTTGGGAACTTCAGTAAGCCAGTGTGATGAAGACCTATCAGGAACAGACATTACGTCTTAAATTTAGCTGAACTCTGAAATATCTCGTTGCATGTGCTCAACAAATAATGAAAGCAATAATTGTGGTGAGAACATCACCAAACAACCAATGCTATTGAGACGTCCAATCCACTTACCTTCGCAGGTAATTCATCCACTTAAAGAATCTTGAGTCTTGGGATGTGTTTTGGCTTCTCCATTGTGAGGAAATGTTTATGATTTCATCATTTCTGTATTTTCCCATCTCTTAATTTTGATCATACTTTCTGTTGGTTTCTTTCTTCTGGGAGAGAAAAGATAGATATATATATATATAGCAGATCCCTAACCAGAAATAATGAATGTGAGAGGAGGAATGGCTGTCTCTGGAGGGTGACTTTAGCATATCTCTCTCTGTTTTACTCTTTTGCTTTTTTAAAACACTTTGTTTCCAGCTCTTGCTCTCACAACCACCTGGCATTAAGTGCTCCTATGCTTTCCTCCTGGATGTGACTGTTGGATATGTGACTCCTGCTGCTCAACCACTCTCTGTCTGGCATTCAGCAAGTGGATTATGAATTCCCTGGCAGGCATGTGACCAAGAAGAGGTTCTAGTTGCAGAGTGGATTGT